GTCGACCATTGTACATCTTTCTGTGGGGATGCAATAAAACTTTATGGATGGAATGTAGCAGAAACTTGCTCGAAACGTGAGAAAACTTGCATATATATTATTCCATCATGAGAAATAAACCATGGAGTGAAAGAAAGTTTTATTAAATATTGTTATTAAAAGACAATGCGGTGGTTTATTTAAGAACCGGAATCTTAACATTCACTTACGTTTAAGGATTGTTTGCTAATTTAAGTGTTGCATAAATGAAAAGTAAAATTATATTCAAAAGTCGCGTATTGTAAACAATAATTGTTTCATATAAAAATTTTCTACGTAAATAATTTCAAATAATTTTTACAAAGATCAATACATTTTTTGTAGTCACAAAAACTCATTATTTATTATATTATGAAATAAACAATTGTTTTTAAATAATATGAAAATATGGCTAAGAAATATATACTGTAGATTTAAAAAATTAAAATTGCGTTACTTAACTTAAGTTTGTAAATAAATCTCAAAGAAAGCAAGGTTTACTTATTCTTAAATCAGAGGTTTTATTTGGAATACAACATAAGATTTTAATATTTTTCCAATAGATTTATTAAAGAACATTTCCAAACGAAGACATTGTGATAAGTATTTTTTGTAAAAACAGCAAAATTTAGAAAATTAGAAATATATATTTACTTTTAGAATAAAATATTATAAATTAAAAAAGAAACTTAACAATTATGCTAAAATTTTCTAATATAGTGGTCGACCCCTGTAGGTGGTTAAAAAAATCATATTTTCTCCTTGGCTGACTTATTATCATTTAGAAGGTAAATATGTCAAGGTTATTTATGGTACGGCGATTCTTTTAGGTATCAAAGATAAATTGGACGTATTTATTTCCTTTTCCTATTGTATTTACATAATTGTAAAATATAAGGGGTCAATTGGAAGTCAGATACCGTTTGAAGTGGTCGACAGTCAAAGAGCAGGATTTTTAAAACTATGATTCCAAGTAATTTTCAAATAACTTTTTCAAAATATTTATACTTTTGGTGTTTCATTTCTTCGGGGTTCCTTTTATTGAGTTATGAAAGTAAATTATATCAAGTTACAATGGGTTGACTATTGAAACCGTTGAAGCTATTCTACTTACGGTAAGTCGGTATGGAAGATAATGTGGTTTGAACCTTTTTAGTTTTCAATGATGGTCTTTTATAGTAGTTCTATTGTTAGAAGGTTTGGGATACCAATAATGGTATCTAGTGCTGGTTTTAACTAAAATTTTCTTAATAGAATTGTTGTTACCATCATATTTCGAGTACCATGGAGCTTTAATACTTGGACCTACGACTTCCAATTCTAGGGTATGTCAGCAACTCGATCATTGACATTGTATAATGATTCTAAAACAATCAATTTTAATAAATATTTAAAATTAGTAAATAAGGAACTAACTGTAGAAACTTAATCTTGTTATATTAATACATAAAATAATAACACAATCTGTTAAAGTGGAACCTCACTAAATGAGCACCTCTCATATCGACTAATTCGTATAACGAACAAAACAAATTGTAAATAATGACTCGTTTAAAGAGCAACATCTCGCATAACGAGTGAAAGGGAGAAGGGAAGTCCCGGATTGTGCGCTTGTTATATTATTTTCTAAACTTGTACTTCTGTTCAGACATATAATAAAATTATTCAGACAAAAATGACCCCAAATAAAAGTGTATTTTTTGGCATTGAAATATTTTACATAAATTTTTATAGGAAAAATTGTTTCGCTTAACGAACTCGCGTTACGAGTAAGATTCTGTAATGCTCATTATGGGAGGTTCTACTGTTATAATTTCTGTATTTATATAGCTATTATTACTACAAAATATTTATAATGAACAATTGAATTTATTTATTACACAGAATACAAAATATTTCATGGTACTTTTAATATCAGTATTTTTACGATTATTTGTTTATACCAGATGACTATTAACCACTAGACTATTCAAAGATATTTACTTTGCGTTAATAGTACGCTCTTCGCACATTACTTAAATTTAATAATCTTAAAAAAAATCATAGACACCACCTGACGTTTAATATTTTCTATTTAATTAATATTAAATATAATTTGTGTTAACAACTTGAACTTAAAAGTCTACTAAAATCAATATATGTGTTAAAATTATGTTAAACATATTACATTAATACCATATTAACAATTTAGATTATATTAATAAAAAAATGTCAATCTTGAGTAATAAAATTGTATTACTTTTTATTTAATTATATTTATTTCTATTATTTATCTTCTAAATTAAAAAAGGAACTATAATGAGTGTGTTAAAATTAAATTCGTTTCAATTTCTTCTTTTGCTTATAATTTATTCGCAGTTAACAATCAATGCAATATTTCACAATGATTATTTCTTTTAATTACATTTAAGCTATTGTAATTTTATAGATTAAATCTTTTATCAACATATTTCTCTTTATCAAATTGTATTATTATTTTGATTCTAAATGTAGACACAAAAAAACACTTTTGCATTTGCAATCTGTATATTTATTACTAATTTGATTGATTAATCATTACATAAATTCTTGTTGTTTATAATTGCCAATAGATTTTTTAAAATTATTGACATGTCAAACTTAAAAATATAATTTATATATCTATGAAAAAAAATTTAAAAGATATTAAGAAAATGTAACAAATTAAAAAAAAAATATGAATAGTCGAAGGAACCTTTTAACTCTTTGAGGGGCCAGAATTTCGTAAATTTCTAGACAACTGAATGAGAAAACTATGTCTGAAAACTGAATCAACATCGGATTGTATGGACTATCAAGATTCAACCTTTGACATAGCAACTAAATTGAAAGATAAGTCCTCTTTCCTGGACATTTCTTAGAAAATTATAATAATACCCCACTAGGCATGTTCAAAAGGTGCTACAGTGCGTGTATCACCGACCCTCAAAGAGTTAAATAATGAATAAATACTTTAAAATTAGCCATATACTGTTAGCAGGGTTGCTCTCAGTTAAGGAAAATGAAGAACGGAGAATATAGAGAGCTAAGGAAGAAAATGGCAGTGGAAACCAACACACGTCGAAGTGAAGTGCTTGGTAGCACAAAATAGAATGCGGAGATTTATGAAAATACCAGATCTGGATACGAATGAAGAAGGGGAGAGGTTTTTGTTGGTAGTAATCCAACAGTATAAGACTCCACCAGTGGTCCCTATACAAGGTTTCCTCTTTTCTTAAAAAAAAATATTGTTAGACTATGGTCTTTTGGTCTTAATTTAATAATTTTATTAAATAATATAAAGTTTTTTTTCTAGGTACTGTCAAAACTTCTGTAATGTGACAAAAATAAGTTGGAATTTTTTAAACACTGCTATTACCAATATCAGTCTACAAAAAATAGGAAATCGAAGGAAGGAAATGGTATAAATAATAATTTTAAAAAAACATCTAGTTAGTAATAATTTAATGTTTATTAAAGGATAAAGGGTATTGCATCGCATTTATATAAACTTCGATCGATATTTTCCCAGAAAATTGCAGTCCCAAAAATGTTCACTTAATATTCGACAAATATATTCCTTCATACACACTCTCGAGATATGTAATCTAAACAAACTTAAAACTGTATGCCGAACATTACTTACTTTCTTAAATTCCAATTAATAAAAATAAATAAAAAAAACAACATACCTAACACTTAAAGCGGTGCTAAAACAACAGACATCGAAATAAACGCAGAGCAATTGAAAAAATCATTACTTTAATCAGAATCTCTTTGGTTTTTTTTTAATCTTTTTTGCAATGGAAAATACAACGTACACATAAATTTATCTTTTTTTATCATCTTCATTTTAGTTACACATAAATTAAATAAACATAGGTATTTTTTAAAAAAAGAAAATAATGAGAAAATTAGTTAAAAATTAAAACACGACAGAAAATAACAAATAACATAGTTTTGCAACATCCGTAATCACTCTAAATAGGGGAGTGGGTATAATAATAATGTATATATAGTATATATGTAATTGAGACGAATCGAAAAGATACTTTATAAATTCTCTAAACCTTAATTAATCTGTAATCCTAACGTTCCTTTTAAATATAACTTTTTTCTTTTCATATATATATATAATATTTTAATTAATAATTATCAGGCAAATGCTTTAGAATTTTATTTACTTATTAATCGAGTTCTCTCCGTTCTTAGTTGGTTTATTTCATCTTCATCTTACTTAACAACATTTTCATCTTCATCACTACTTCCTCATTCTTCATATACATTTTTCTCCGTTTTCATTAATTTCTCTAATAGAATTGTTTAAGTTTTTTTACTTAATAGTTGAAGGAAGTCTTTAGAAATAACATCGTTAGAAAGTCAGAGACAAACGAAAAAAAAATGAAACATTCAACACACTTCCATTTGTTTATGTTCTTCCTTTTTTTGTTTTGTTTTTATACAATAAGACTAGGTTCGCTTCCATTTCTTCAATATATTTACTTTTCATCAATACAATATATATATATACTCTGTTTCTTATTTCATTTGTTTTTTATCAATCAATTGATTTAAATCCTATTTTAGTTTACATTGCAGTTTTCGCGAATAATTTTCTATTTTCACAAATCACAAATTTTCTCCGCAGATAACGATAACAACAATAATAATAATATTTTAAAAAAAATCTATAACTGATTGATACATATTAACATAATGTAGACAATTTAAAAGAACCCCACATTAAAATCCCATTCAACTTCACTAACTAGAATTCTATCACAAGATTAAACAGTAAAACTCTAATTCCTTTAATCTTCATTTAGTGATTAATAATTTTGGTATATATATTTTTTTTTGTTACTGTAATATAATAGTATTTAACTCTTCTTTTTTTTTTGGTGACGAATAACATTTTTTTACTCTTACTGATTTCAATAAATATTGGTTAAAAGTGCTGATTTGTTATTAGTATAATTATCATGTTCCTCCTTGGATATATATTTAGATTTTGTAGCTAATTCTTATTTAAATGCGTGGATTTTATTTAATTCCTTCGTTCCTGTTAAATTCCTTCAGCTTTTCATTCAGTTCGCCTGCTTCGGGCAGGATTCCTTCTCCGGTCTGCTGGGTGGATTCCTAAAGACGACGATGCAGACGGGTCCTCGAACTATCCTCAGAAGATCGATTATTTCACTGGTCGTCATCCCTTCGACGCTCTCGTCGTTAACCTAGGCAATTAAACGTAAATCGAATTAGTTTATGATCAAACTTTGGCCAAACTTTTTTTGTTCATTTCCTCATCAAACATTCACAAGACTCACACACACACGTAAATGGTTCGCGACCGAAGGTGCATTAACTAATTGAAGAACTTTAGTTTCTTTCTTCAGACAATTTCAAGATTTAAAGAATTTAAAAGCAATTTGTGTGACTTTTCTTTTCACGATTCATCAACTGAATGAAAATGTAATATCTTACATTTATGAAACACGAATCCGCTGAAAAGTTTTATTCGCTCATCTTAGAGATTTTTTGCATTTAACGAGGAAAGAGGTCGTCAACGATTAAATCTCTTCAGTGAAGAGATTATCGCTAATCCGCAATCCAATTAAGTTTCTCTATACTCGAACAAGACGTTCATTAATCAACGGGTAAATTGGTTACAATGCTTAATTAGTTTGCTATTAACTTAGTACGTCCATATAAAGTGCTGAAACATATATATGTTAGGTATATATAAAAGAAGAATATCTAAATTTAAGTTTCAAAAATTAATCTGAATGAGAAACATATACATAAAGAAAGAGGAGCGAGTTCACCGCATCCAATCAAATTTGTTGGAGAGTTTTCATTTAGATGTAACGAATCAAAGGTATTTCGTTTAATCAAGAATATGGAGTGCACCTACGTAAACCACAAGCTCTCTGTGAAGAGTTAAGAATATACAGATTTTGTAATTAATGCAAAAGTGACGTAAAATTTGATTAGTTTTCAACTAGATTATCCAAACTCTTAAAGAAAAATAAATGAAAGATATATGTTTGATTATTTCTTGTCAAGAGGAATTTAATAACAGAAATATTTATTAAATATGTTTTTAATAGGGTATATACATCAAAATTCAATGTCAAATAACCAAAGCAAAACCGGAAAAACCTGCAGAAGGAATGAAGACAGATAACTTATCAAAAGACGTTATAAAACGTTGTAAAATAAAGCAAAAAAATAACCTAGTACTAGTTTACCTTAGTACTGTATACTTTTTTTTTGTAAACACGGGTCTATAGATAAAATAAACAAACTTGTTAATATCATCAAACAGGTCTTCAGAAAAAGAAAACAGAAGATAAAAACCAGAAAGCATATTTGGAGAATAACAAGTTCAGATTAAAATAGTGGAATAGTGTATACAAAATAACATTGAATGAAGATTTGATAAACCAACGTTTTAGACGCAGACGACATAAATATTTTAGATAAAATATCTTTAGAAGCACTGCAATTCAAAGTCGATTTGTTTTGTGTCTTGTAGCCTTAGAAATTGTATTCAACTACTGAAATGTACTCAATATTCTAGTAGAATACATTAAGTCAAGATGAAAAATGTAGGTTTATAGAGTATGAGTCAATCAAAGCGCAAAGTGTGTTTATTTAGGACTGGGTTAATATTAATTTCAGTCGTCTTCGAAGTTGGGGAAACTTGGTCACGACCAGATAACAGTTATGTCACGCGCAATAAATTGCGATCATTACGTAAATAGTTGATGCGGTGGCGTAGCAAAACTTGCACACTGACTCACAAACGGCGAAATTTATATAAATATTATATTATATTTATAGACCATTTTTTTTCTCTTTTCTGAAATACATACCTTGATGACGCGATCCGCGACCTTGATCCTGCCGTCCTTCGCGGCGACGCTGTCTGCGTGCACGGCGCTGACGAAGGTCTGCCCGGTGGGTCCTTGCAGGCTGAAACCCAGCCGGCTGTTCCAGCCTCGGGTTAATTCGATTGCCAAAATCTAAAAAGAAAATATGTTGGTTATATTCACGTTTTTATTTGTAGATGACAATTTTCCCAATTTTGTACATCAATTTGGTTATCATCTAGCATAAGTTGCTTAGACATAAAACACACTTTAGATAAAGATAAATATTTTCAATTATTTAAAAAAATGACTAATTTTAGAACATAAATACTTGTGCGAATTGGGTTTGTTTAAAATAAGCAAATTTCCCAAAGTAACTATAATACGTAGTTCGAATACAACTAAATTGCAAAAGTTAAAGGGAAAATAAAATAATGATATTTGAATTGCATTGATATATGATCCTAATTGCGAATTTTACCTGTGGTTCTTCCGGCACTGTTTTCGGTGGTTCCTTGATGCTCTTCTTCCGCCTGGGTTTCTTTTCCGGTTCCTCCTGCCGAGGCTGCGGCCTCGATTCCTGCGGGCCGCATGGTGGATGAGCGCTCTGGTAAGTTGGATTCTTGTGGCTGAAGGTGGCCGCCTCGGTGGGCATGTGTGGCATACTGGCCGGCTCTTTGGGGAAGCTGTCGCTAGGCTCGACCTCGGTACTGTTCGCCCCATCGGTCATATTGTATGTAAGATTCGGAGCGTCCAGTATTTCCGCATCCAAATTGTTCAGCTCGTAGGCGTTGTGGGCTAGCGAGAAGTTGAACTTGGGTTTGCGGCACGCGACTGGAGTCTGATTGGGGTTGTACAGTTCGAGGGAAATGGGCCGAGACGGACGATCTTCGTCGTCATGGATGAAGAGCGAATTGAAGGAATCCTCATCCAGCGGAAGATTACCGCCGCGCTGTAGAAGGCCTTCGTGGAACTGCTCTTCGGGTGGGTAGTACTCTTGAGAAGCGTCCGATGGACAGACGGGTCTCGATCGGATGCGCCTCGGGGACGTCGACTGCGGCGATTGGGAGCTGTTATTTCTGATAGATTCCTGCTGCGTTGGAATCAACTTTCGCACGGCGATGTCGTTCAGCATGTCCACAGCTTCTTGTCTCAGTTGTGCTTTTCGTGTGAAAGAGGTGCGCGGCGTCGTTTCCGTCGGGGATAACGTCGCAACCGGTGTTTGTGCAGCATCGCGGTACAGCCTCAGTTTCACCAGGTCCCCACATTTCCTCAGGAACTGCACTGCCTCCTCATGCGTCATAGACGAAATCTCTACATCATTCACCTAAAAACAAATAAAAAAACATCATTGTAGAAACGCTACAGAAGTTGGTTTTAAACACACAACAACGTCTCGGCTTTATAACTGCGACCCGCTTTAAACTTAAACTTTACAACACTAGCATACTGAAAATTTGATGCACTTAAAAAAACTTTGATCCTTCCATTCTAAGTTTCGGAATCACCAAAGGCAGTAAAGTACTTCTTAACCGGAATTCATTATTAAAGCTCTAACAAATATTTAATTATGAGAGAAACGTTTGTTTCCATTGTGACAGATTATAATAGACAATTATAACTTCCTCTTTCATGTACTGTACATTCACTCATCGTACTAAAACTGAAAATTTCACAATAGGACAAAAAATAGGTGACTCTTATTTAATAAATATTATAAAAATATATACAAATACGTATTTCATTTTGATGAACTGAAATATTAGACGACACAAAATTCGCTGATAAATCGTTATTTGAATACATCCAATTCAGTTCTGAAATGGCAATCATTACTTTGAAATCGATCGAAGCGACATCTGTACTAGTATTTATGAATAATTGGGATGCCTATAATTGGTTGGCGAAATGGAGATTCGATCGGAGCTCCGAAGATACGCAACAGGCGGATAACTATGTGTGCATAATGTGTAATAGGCAAGAGACATCAAGTGGGATTTGCATCAAAAGTGTTCATCCATAACAGGATATCATTTATAAAAGCAATATTTGTATCGACATGTAACGAGTACTTCTTTACATAGAAGCAAATATAATCCAAATATTAAATATATTTACGTCAAATTCATCATTTATTTTTCTTAATTTAAATAAGTGTAGCTTTCAAAAACTATAATTAGATTAGCAATTCATTTATATAGGTTTCTCAATCGATGGGATGAGATTCATTCAATGTTTAATGTGAAATGACAGCTGTCACCTTTTTATGGCTATATAAATTAAGTTTATTATATTAAAAATGCTGTCAATCTATTTAAAATTTAATAATAAGTAGCCAACATTTATAAGATAATTTTGAATTGCATGTATATTGTGTAAATAATAACAATAGTTTGTTTATCAGGTGCATACAAATTAAATAACATAATTACAGGTAAAAAAAAACCTTCATTAAACAATAATCATGACCCACATAATTCTTAGTTGTACGCAGTGGGTCAAGTGCCTTGTGGGCCCGTGCACCCGCTTCACTCCCAAATTGCTACGCCACTGGGTATATGTCGAAGGAAGTCCATTAGATGTTATTTTTCTTCATTAACTATTAGTTTCATATATTACATCATTAAATATTCGGAAGCATCAATTTACCATTACACGAAGAGTTTATTGGTGAGAGATAAAATATAAGTAGAAGCTGTTTTTTTTTCTTTTATTATCGGAGTGACGGTTTCTTATTAATGAGAAAATGAAATATGTAGTCGTTAAATCCGATGTTGCTACTCAATTGTTGGTAGTTATGTTACGACTGGTCACTTGATGAGTATTGCAGTAAAAGTAATTGGCACTTTGTGAGTGGGGAAAATGATCAATTTTTATAGGAAATATAAATCCATCCAACAAATATTTTAATAGATATTGAATAGTTTAAAAGCAATGTCTCGCATAGTGAGGTTAATCGGAAACCGGACTAATCGAACACATAAAAAGAAACTGCAAATTTATTATTTTTTTCATTTTTAAACCGGATTGTAGTAAATCCGGGACTGATCGAAACCGCACTATGCGAAGTATTGCTGTATAAGAAATTTGATTCATATAGACTTACTTCAAAATAATCATAATGTTAATAACACTTCTATTTATGAGATTTATGATATGTGGCAGATAACCCTTAATATTGTGTGGAAGATAAATAGAAGAGCGTGCGAGGGTTTCCACGGACAAAGCAGAAATGAATTAAAGCGCAAAATCTGAGTTGCCTCGCATCAAATATCGTAGACAAACATGCGGGTTTGCTCAGTTAAAACTCGTATCAAAGCCAAATAATAACTGGAAAACAGAAGAGTTAATTAACCTATCTGGGTCGTGGTTAAAAATAAAACAAGACTATAAAGTGCAGAGTGGTGAATTACATCCGTAAAAGAACCGTCCAGGATTAACAAAGGACAACTGGGTTAATAACTATAAGACGCGCATACAATATCATCCGGAATTGTTCGAAGCTTATCCATTATAAAATAATAAATTGAAAAGTAATATGGAGTATTGAAAGAAATATTAAAAAGTATTTTTCATTTGAAAGCATTTGAAAGAAACATCAATATATATATGTATATTTCTGTGAATGCAATAGACTTGGTTTCCTTAAATTGCATTTTTTTTAAGCTTTTCAAATGGAATTAAAGCGTTCGCATCGCTATGAACTGCATACAACGTTTGATGAAAAACTTGTATTATCTCCTGCGCAAAGCCGACGCAATTCAATTTAGCCCGAAGGCGCTTTTTGATGTCCATTTTAGAAAAGATTAAATTTGAAAAGATGAAAGTATCAGAGTCACGACCGGAGATTTACTATCTGAAATAAAATTTCTAGAAAAAAAAACTATCGTTGTAAATAATTTAGATAGATATTTTCACCACAATTAATACAGCAATACCTCGCATAGTGCAAATAATTAGTTCCGCTAATATCAGGAACTTTATAAAAATAAACTGCCCAAAAAAGAGATTTGTACAAAAATTGTATACTAATATATTTTTTATTTTTTTTTTCATGAACATTTAGATTGATTTGAAATTTTCAAACCGGATTATAATTAACACCTCACTTGATATGTTCGTTGGATGACATATAGATGGCGCATCTATCGACAAATAAAATAGGATTTTAGGAAGTACCAACCTTCAGACGTCGTCTGTCAAAATTTCATGGCAATCTGTCGTTTAGTTCAAAAGGTACAGTGGTTTTAGTGACGGTACTTTTGTAATTTTCAAAAGAATGGAAAAAAGAATTTCGTGTGTTGATTCCTCTGTTAATCCGGACTGATCGAAGTCGGATTATTCAAAGCATTGTTTACAACAATTAGTAACAAATATTTTTGTTAATAAAATAAATAAAACGTGCTCATTTTTATACACATATATATATATTTACTTCATGTCTCATGTGGATACATTTTGGCAAACTTATATAAACGTATTTACTGTGTGTAGGTTTGTCAAACGTTCTTCAGCATTCCCACACGTTTCTTTCTTATTTCAGCCCGAGAAAAGTTACAATTTTATTTTCTGTTGCTGAATATTTCACCGTACTAACCTAATAAAGTTTCAAGTTTGCGAGTTTGAACAGTTTCAATAGGAAAAACGTACGTTAAACATTTCTTTACTGTACCTTGAATTACAATTACAAATTTCTAAAATTATTTCATCTTTTATCAATTAATAAATAAAGTAACGTTGAATTATTTTTGTTTTGATTGTTATCTTTATTTTAATTCATTTTTGTAACTTTTTGTTTATTGCTATCAACTCTCTATTCTATAAATTCATTCTTTAAACATTATTAAATTCGTATTTTAATTATATGATTGTAATAATAACAAATCAGTATATGAAACTTTAATGTTCATAGTTCGACCTAAATAACTATAAGATTATACCGAAGTTACACTATTATTCAGATACAATTAATTTCACATACTTTTTCTCATAATTTGAAATAAATATTTTTTATGTGGCACAAATTTAATTCTTTAAATTTTCTTTTGAATTACTGTTTTTCCTTCATTGTTTATTACTAATTACTTTTCGAAAAAATCTTCAAATGTAAAAACATTATAATGTATATTTTAATTATATCCTTAAAACATACTATAATAAATGTAATGTAAGTAGCTGAAAACTATACGAAATTTAATGCAAACAATGTTTTTTTTTTTGCAAAAATAAAATATTAATATCATAGATATTATGCAGAGAAAATGTATAATAAAATAAGTAGTTTCGAAATACACGTCCATCAACAATGAGGATTGGGAACAATGTTACATTATTAATTTCAACGTCAGTTCGCGCTGCAAGCTATATATACGTTTATTATTAAAGAGATTATACCAGCAGTTTACTTTTTCCTATTTATTTCTTTTTTTTTTCATTTTACTCCAGTAACCTACATTCGCGAAAGCTTTTAAATTCTAATTAATTATTCGATAATATCACGAAACGAAAAGTTTCATCGTGCCATTTCGATAATACAAATTTAATAGTTTTGGTAATTAATTATTTTACAATGGATATTTTTAAATGTGATATTAATTATTAATAGTTGCTTATATTTCTACAGTTTGATCAAATACAAATTCTTATTATACTTGACCCTTTTAAAAACCAATTTTTAAGGAAAATTGATTCTGCAAACCAACTTGTCTAATATAATTTCATCATATTTAATTTCTTTAAAAAATAATTTTCAGTAAAATATGCAATTATGGCATTTTCAAAGTGTGACAATATTGAGACTTTTAATTTAAGAAAATTAACGTTAAATGTATACTAAATCTTGGTTATAATAAGTAATTGTGCAGTTGAATCTTAAAAAATCATAAAAAAAAATCAAAATGGTGGACGATTTGAAGAGAAGATAAATATCGAACTTACAGCAACGATTTTATCACCGGCTCGAATCCTGTCGTCGTTGAGTGCTGGAACTCTGACCATGGCCCGGATGTAGTGGCCCAGGGCGCTGTCATCCTCCTTCCTCAGCGTGAAACCTAAAGATCCGTGTATCTTCCTCATTGTGATTTCGAATTCCTGCGGGGAAAAAAACAAGAACAGCAAACGTGAGAAACGGTGTTCAACTATTAAAAACAATGATGGTAATAATAAACTAGCAGGAAAATGTTACCCCGTTGTATTGATCGTCGTCGGAGCTGAGGTTGGCCGGCGTCAGGTTCAGATTGGAGGGCGGCTCGCGCCGTGGCGGCGGCGGCGGTACCTCAGAAATCGGACTAACACAATTGAGAACGTCCGGAGGCGGTCGGCAGATCCTCAATTCCACCTGGCTGGCAGTCGTCCTCAACACTTCAAGAGCATCCTGCAAAGAAACAAAAAGAAATTAGAATATTACTTTTATACGCAGCAGTTGAAGATGATGCTTACGTAATTGGTGAGTCCTGTTAAGGCGATGCCGTTTGCTTCGAGGATGAGGTCTCCAACATTGAGGACTCCGCAGGATGCGGCCGGTTGATGTGGGAACAGCCTTTTGACGCGGATCAGGCCGGGCCAGGATCCGCCGCTGTCGGTGCCTCCGGTGACGCTCAGCCCCAGGCCTCTGGAGCCTTTTGCCAGTGAAACGCAGAAGGTGCTCTCTGCAAGAATCGTCCATTTAATTAGAGCTAATCAACGTGGAGAGGAAGAAAGGATGGTCGGCGGGAGAGAAAGAGGCCTTCTTCTTCTAATTGTCCGGAGAAAATAACTGCACCGGCGAAACTGTAACGCGCGAATACCACCGTTCGCTGCACACACAAAAGACTCCTTCGCAAATGAGAAACTGGATTAAATCCATTCGACTATTTCAATTATCGATTCTGGCACAATGCAAAACCGATTCCATTCTGTGCCACCGGAATGCCGGCACTCCTATGTGCAATGCTGTTAATCTTCGCGAACCGCCAGTGCCGGGTTATCCCGAAGGATATCTAACATTTACGAAATATTGACTGCCTTCAATTTTCATCATCATACTGTCAGCTATGCTCTACATATACATTGATATATAACGTACAACCCCCCATTGGATAACATATCTAACATATTCTGTCTAGCAAGACACTTTATGGTATTACGTAGCGTTATGACTTTAAACATTCAATTTAATTAACCTTAATATAATGTAACATAGTTAAATACCTCCTACAACTAAATACTAATCGGCTTTTTTTGTAAAGATTTATTATTTGTACGATTGACAATTTACTAATTGGTTATACTATTATATTTGACTTACTTAAGTCTTTTTATTATTGATTTTGAATCAAACACTTTAGAGGAAGAACGTTAATATCTCATTAAGTTTTTAGATGAGTTGAGGTACTTATAATTTTATTTCTGGATTTTGATTGAAAAATGAATAGGCCCAACGTGATTTAATTCCGACTTTCTATATATAATTTACTTCTGGATATACAACTTATGGAAGGATTTGTCTTACAACAATTTAATTATGCTGTGTCTTTATTTTTATTCACTGATTTTTGATCTTCTCAAACTATATATCAACTTTTCTCAACCTATGAACCGCGATCCAATATTACGTGGCTTCAAGTTTTTAATGAAATTTGCGAAATGACAGCTTTCACCTTGTGTCAAAATAAGGATTTTTAATGAAATTCGCAAATTGACAACTCTCACCTTTTGACAAAACAAGGAAGTGATGAAATAAACTGTACAATTACAAAAAAAATATGTTGGGTCGTTACTATTTTATAATATAACAGATTGTCATGTAAAAAATGTCAATATTTTTTATTCTTGTATGTATTTAAAATGTTTTGATAGTTTAGTTGTGGGTACAAGTATAAAAACTTGTCAAGTAATCGTTTCATTATAATTTCATTAAATTTGTCAGGAGTTGACAAAGAGTACTTCCGTAACGTATCCAAGCTGAGATATTAGAGGTCCTGCAAAATTTCAAGTACGCCACTGGTCGATGCGCGCACATTCGTAAAAAGGAACGTTAACAGTGGTAACCCCCAGCAACTTTTGTTTTACGAATGTTCCTTTGTGACAGGCGCAGGCAGCTGCAATCCTTTTTGTTTGTTTTTATCTTGTTTTTTTTTCATATAACCCATATCTCGCGTCTGCTCCTTCTTTTTTAATTAAAAGTTATCCCGGTACGCGCGCACCCGTTGTAAAGCCGTTGACAAATTTCATAATTAATTCGCATTTTGCCTCACGTTCAAATCCCTGCCGCATCACTGATTCCGATGTTTTATTATTCAAAGTCATCACCGTCAGCGCATCCTCTAATTAATTAATTTTTCATTTACCGAGCGAACTAACGTTTTAATTGGACATCGGCTCACGGCTAAACATGCTCCCCGGATTTCACACAATTATTCGTTTGATTATTCAACTGCATCCAATCGTATACAAAAGAAAAACATATACTGCAATTGAAAACCTGTGTTATCTATCAAAATTACTTCTTGCATGAATTTTGGGACACCCTATGTATACTTATTTTTATATTTTCCTATAGAAAGAGGATTGCGAACGGAAATTGCATAAAGTAGATGGAAACTTTTTCTATTTAACATTAATTATATAACAAATAAAATCCTATTATAAAAACATGTTTATATTTAGAAACAATATACGGTTAAATACTGACATTTTGTACTGACACACAATTATTGTTATTAACCAAACTATTTTTTTTTACTTTTACTTAATGAATATGATTAAAATAGAAGTGCTTTCATATAAAGTTTTATATTCCCTTGAAGATACATTTACGTTTGAGGACCATTTATAATTTCTTAATCATAAAAGAGGGGAAAAATGAGTCTGTCAAAATAATGTGAAGAGACTAAATGGTATGAGATGGCGGCAGTTGGAAGAACTAGGACACGGATTGCAGCTTTTGTCGTAATATTTCTGGTGGCTGTCAGCCGCAGCCTTCCGTTTCTCGTCAACGGTTTTCAAATACATGTCCTCTCCACCATTCTCTTCTCGCCATTTGATGAGATCAAAAAAAATATCTGCAGAGATTCTCATGAAGAAAATCACTAAAAATAAATGAAATCTCTATATCACAACACGTCAACTGCAAATGTTACTGTTTAGATAGAAATTTCTCTTGTAGTTCATTATTTTCAATAATCAACAAAATTATTAATTGTTTATAATAAAAAATTAGTTAGATTTTTTAGAATTTATTTTTCTCAATTAAAATTTAGTTTGTTTTGAAATTTCAAATCGGCCTATAGTAAATCCGGACTATGTGGGTTATTGATATAAACCTATAATTATTTAAGTGTGTCACGTGATTTTAATATGAATGAAAATATAAAATTATAGAATGGAAATAAAATTATATGACTTGAAGTATTGATTTCTAGTTGAAAACTTTGTTCAGAAGAAAACTGACTTTTTTGTTGTGTCTTTAGCGAAGTACATATATATTTCATCAGGTGTAATAAAAATTCCCACATGTTCGTGTGCATGTATAACGTTGGGTCGTTGGGCGAATGCCATGCAATATTTTTAAAACTCTGCTGTTCTTTGTACCAACTTTGCGATGAGATGAGATGATTTGTTTATTTTGGCAATCGCCGCAAACCGAATCCATTCGCAGAATCAACTAAAACATACTTTTATGTTTTAATAAAATCCTATTTATAAATATCACATATTCGTTTGTAGCTGTTTGTTTTCAAAAACAAAATTTAAAAAAAATATGCACTTGACGAAAATGTTAATATCACAGAAACGACAACAAGTTTATTGCAATTGCAACCAAATATTATAACGAGATACATACTCAATTAATCAACATTTAATTGGAATTATTTTTTTATTTTTTATATAGTTATGGACATATTTATGTAAAGAAATTTTTAATAAATTTTTGCATATTTGCAGAAAAAAATGTGCTTATATATTAACATACGTTAATCAAAAAAACAAGTTTAAGTACAAGTATTTGTAAGTATATATAGTGCACTTTACATAATTTCGCAAATTCTTGTAGGTCAGAATTTAATTATCTCGAGTACTTAAGTAGTCACTACTTCTGGATTGAAATACTAAAGTACAAATATATTCATAAGTTTACGCATATACCACACGTGTATCAAGACATACTTGTCAATTTGTACATACGCATATACAAGTAGTCTGACAAGTTGCAGAAACATATATGCTATTTTTTTTAGTTAAATTAATTTAACAGATTTAAGATGTTTGCAGATTTCATGTTTCATGAGTTAAACATCAATATTAAAACGTAATTGAATTTCGTGATTTTGCAAGTATCGAGTATTAAAAGCCTCGGGCGTATGAAACCCACGATATTTGCATAGTGCGACGCGTGAAATTGCTGATAAAATAAAAGCCGTGTCCAGATATTTACACAGAGCTTTTGCAGTTCAATCGAATCGATGTTATAGTAGTAGTAGAATTGCATATGCATTTGCTTGCAAAGTCCGTACGTAGTCCATTATTCTCGGTAAGCGTGGACCGTGGGGTGTCTGTGAAAAAACGCAATCTAGCTGAAATGGACCTCGAAGTTCATGCAATATTTCAGGCGCGTAGCGAACTCCAAAATGATAATGCGCTAAAGTTTTGTCCCGAGCGGCCGCAAATTACCCCATATATTAAAACCGTAATTTAAAATTATTCAGACCGAGCTCGGTTCTATAATAAATTCATAGAAATTTTCATCGGATCTCTCAGGACTCCATCAATTAAAGCTCCTCTCTCACTCTTTGGATCCAAAAATGGGCGGAACTCATTATTTTTCGCTTTATTTCATTTCTTTATGCCAACCTCAATCTTCTGCTTGGTTATCGTGAAATATTGAACATATGTTCAAGTTTTCACTGCTCCTCTAGATGGCGTTCAACTTCAATAGTTTTAGTTTAAACCTATCTAGCAATAAAAACACTACAATATTTTCACATGATGTCAGTTTTTTATTTTGTTATGTCAGAAGTTATCATCTGTGAAATATTGAACATATGTTCAAGTTTTCACTGCTCCTCTAAATGGCGCTCAACTTCAATACATTTAATTCAAATCTATCTTTTGTTATATCAGAGGTTACCATTTGTGAAATATTGAACATATGTTCAAGTTTTCACTGCTCCCATAGATGGCGTTCAACTTTAATACTTTTAGTTCAAACCTATCCTAAGCTAACAATATTTTGATATTAAGTCATTTTTGTCTATTGTTATGTCAGAGGTTATCATTTTATTAAAAAAACCGGACTAATCGAGGACTTTAAAAACGCATACAAATAAAGCGCACAAAAATATATTTGAAAGACAAAATAATTCGAATTAAAATTTTGTTTTTTTTTCGAAATTTTCAAACCGGACTATAGTGAATCCAGACTAATAGAAGCCGCGAGGTATTGTTGTAATTGTATAAACCAACTGGAAAACTTAACTTACTAGTAAATGATTATGAAAACAAAAAAAAAATCATAAATTACCAAAAAAAATACCAATCTGTATTTTTGTATAAATAATATTTTCAATATCGTATACCATGAATTACAAATTATTTTGTCTTCAAATTGGTAAAACTATGTTATTAACTACAAATAAATTTTCATTATTTATTCATACGTATAATAATTTCAATTTTGATTATATTAAACTTTTTTTTGCCTAATCATTTTCAAATAAATAAAACTAATTTTGCAAATGAATAAAGTTTTTTTGTACTTTTATAAAACCTATTTGCTGTGATATAGTTACAAAGTTGCATTAGCCGATTATAATGCCGGATATAAAAGCATGCATTTAATTACAAAATCAAGTTTTAATACAATTCGCAATCCAATTTGTGTGTTAGTAGTCGATCGTTAATTTACAAATTAATTGGAGCGCAGAATGCATCATGCTATTGTTGATTTTTTTTTTAAACAATGAAACAGCAACTAGCAAAACAACAAAACATGTATGTATCAATTAAATTGGAACCACGAATCATTTGCGTTCAATTATAACAATAATTTATTGGTAAACTTATATTAATGATTGAAATAGTTTATCAACAAGCATAATTAGAAACTTTAACAACGAGAATCGGTGGAATGAAATCAATGAATTTTCCGTTCATATAAAATTAATAACTAAATTGAAACAAAATATAAAATTTATATTCTAAAAATATTGATAAATGTCCTCGATTAGTAAGGTTTCAAACATTTACCCGGAATATCTGAGGTAATGCTGTATTTAGTTTTTCAAAGTGTATAATTATTCATATTTACGCATGAAAATCAGCGGTGGTAATCAAAATTCCGACAACTGAAATCCAGACAATTAAAATCCCGACAGTGTTTTTTATTATTTGATATATATTTGTATTTTAGATTATTTATTATTGTTAAGGTTTATTATGAATAAGTCTATATCAAATAATAAAAGATACTGTCGGGATTTTGATACTGTCGAACTTTCGAATGACGGGATTTCGGTTATCGAGATTTAGACATAGACCAGAAAATCACATATCTAATTTTAAAGATAAAGTACTAATTGCTATTTTTATCTTAAAACCGCAAAAATATCTTCAAAAATATAATTTCCAAATATGCCATCAACTACAACAACGTTTCATCATCTAATTATTGGAGCATAATCATGTTTGTGTACGTTTAAAAAAAATCTTGCTTCACCTTCACGTTATTCAGTTTGAAGACCACTGGTCTATAAATAAGTGCAAAGCCTTGAAAATGTAGGGTCAAAAAAAGACTATATTATTATTATAAATGCATTCAGAATCAAAGACCGAATATGACATGAAGCGAATGAATGGTTGGAAGGATCAATTGTACACAAAAGTAAATAATGTGTTTTGTTGTATAACAATGTGACGTTATTTCAATTTTAA